TGAAAGAAGAAATAACACATTCTTACTTTTACAAATTAAAAGTATACTTCATATTCAATAACAAGCACCTCTGCTCATTTCAGTTCACTCAGGGGTTTTACTGTTACAGCCACACTTGGTCTGGTATGACCAGGATCTTACAGTGGCTAATGCTAGCTAATGACAGCAAACTTAAGGTAAATACTGCTGTATAAAAGAGCTGCAATGACCAGTCTATTCATTGATTAGTTCTCAACTATTAAATTAATCGGCAACTGTTTTTATAATTGAATAATCTAAGATAAGCATTTTTTAAGAATCTAGAATAATGGCCCTGCGACTGTATGCCTACACCAAGTTGCAGTTTACATCCATGTCTGTCCAGACTTATTTAATATATGTGGTGAATACTTGGAAGGACTTAAATAAAAGGCTATAAAGTGTATTTTTGGCTAAATGGAAGTTATCACTATACTGATGATTGAGGATGGGACGATATGGAGCGCTTTTGTTTTCTCCTGGCACTTTAAGATGTGACGGTTCTCTATGAGCTGTAGGGGAAACTCACTCACAGGATGACAATTAGCTAGGCTATGATTCCAATTACATTTGGAATCATTCTTAAAGGGCTAGAAACCCATTTTGAGGTCACAATGACCTTTGAAACCAAAGTGTCACCAATTCATTGTCCGACCAATATGGTCATCGATTCTTCAGTTAAAAGTAAAAGTCACAGTGACATTGACTTCTGACCACCAAAATCTAGACTTGAGGCTAAGTGGACATTAGTGCCAAATTTGAAGAAAGCGTTCACTGCCAATGTTCTAAACTGAATATCTCTGGGTTGTGGACAAAATAAGACATTCAAGGACATCACCTTGGGATTCAGGAAACAACATTTTTCACCATTTTCTGACAACCAATTAATTAATCGAGAAAATGACAGATTGATTGATTGATGAACACAGTAATCGTTAGTTGCAGTCTTACTGTATAAGGCACATTATTGAGTCCCTTTGCCGACTCTTTTCCAGATATACTGTAACACAATTCTCTAAAAAATACTGTAACACAATTCTCTAAAAAATACTTTTAGCTAACATTGCTTTTTTTTGTCTAACTGCCAGGAAGACAGTAAAGAGTATTATATACTATACACACACACAGACACACACACACACACACACACACACACACACACACACACAAGCTGAAATGCACACTTCATGCACTTGTGGACATGGAGTGATGGGCTGTCATGTTGCCCCATGAGCAGTTTATTGGGGTTAGGTTGCCTTGCTCAGCAGTGCACAGGAGGTGAAACTGCTGCCAGTCCACACTCCATACTGTGGTCTGTGGGACTTGAACCGGCGACTGCCGCCCCATATTATATTATACCATGACACTGCATGTAAAAATCGCATATACGGTATAAACACATAATTGTATGTGGGGACTTCACAGGTTTAGACACATGTGGACACATGCAGACCTGTTCAGACAGCTGGACCTGTTCTTGGAGGTTTCTGGTGATTGCTTCCTCCTCCAGACTGCTGCCTTCCACTCCTGAAGCCACAGGCAGGCTGTGAAGCTGCTTCTCAACAGACTCCCTCAGCTCTGCATGCAGCCTGGCAAAGGTGAGGGTTGATATTGAAATGGTAATAAAAGTACTCAAATTGCAAATAGTTTTTTGACATTAAATAAAACAGCAGAATCTTAATGACAGTCAATAGGTAATAAGATGCTTCATCTCAAAGGGCTGTCCTTTCAAAAAACTCAAATTCAATCAGCACACTTTATTTGGCTGTAATGTAGATGGCCAAGATGCCTTGATTATCAACAAATAACTAATCAACAACCAAACTAACATTACTGCTCTACTAATACTCACTGGTACCTTATTTTTGTTGGAACATACAAATACAATCAATGTCACTGTATAATAATTCAAATTAGAAAACCAAATAATATCAGATACTCTTTGTCTCTCATAAAAGAAAAGCTTGGCTGATGTTGATTCATTTCTACCTTTCATTCTCCTTGACGACCCTCTCCAGTTTCACTTTGACATCTGTCATCAGCGCCTGTTGGTTGAGACAAGTAGATCAACACTGAGTGCTATTAATCCTGACACATTTTAGGGCACCTGCATTCCAATTTAACAATGGCAAAAAACAAAACAAGATAAAAGATCCGTATTCTTTAGAGGAAGCCAGCATGTTACTCATTAAAACAAACTCAGATGAAGAAAAATTCATCACTCAGTTCTGGGCTATCTACTACTCAATTTAGCATATTTCAAGAGCTTAAATATACATCCAATTATTTTACTATAAACCTACAGTATTTTTATAATACTTCCATAGGTTAAGTCAAGATATTCAGTGTTTTTTACCTGGTATCTCTGCAGCTGTTCTGTCATTTCATCCATGTGCCGATCATACTCCGCTATCAGAGGAGCCATTATACTGTAACACAGATGAATAATGGTGTCACTGTTGCAGAAAAGCTTTTGCTCTCCAGTGTACTCATATCAAGACAAGTTTGTTTTCCCCATAACTCCAGCATGAAAGAAGAATGCGTATGACTGACTCATACAAGAGAAACTTTAATAGCGCCTAACCTTCTATCAGAGATCCAGGGAGCAGGAGACTCTGCCCGTCTTGCCTCCTCAACCTGATGAACATAAGATATGCAGGAGATGCGGGTTGGGATTATGGAGTGTCCACTTGTAGTTAAATACTCCTTTTTCTTTTATAAATAAAATGAAATACAGATGGACTTGCTACAGAGAACAAAGCCTTCAACAACATCAAGTATATACACAGGAGTGGTTTTCTGAAGATACCAAATAATGAGCTAAATCTTCAACAGTTAATAGAGGTTTTTATGGATGTCTTTGTACCTGAGATGGGGACTGAGTGTGGTGTCCATGCTGATACTGGTTGAGAGCAGAATTTAACCTGTGGACTGAAAACAAACACACACACACACACACACACACACGTTCATGCTGCTCCACTATTCAGAGTTGCCATGTTTCTCCACCAAACTGGACTATTGTTAAAATGCTAATTTTCACAAAAGGGGTCCTAGTTTGAAAGCGTACAATGCACCAGTTTGTTATGGTTAAAGCAGAAAAAGAGCAGTGCAAACATCTTAGAAGTAGATGTTGACTCTGGACTTGAGCATTTGGCAATTCAAGGAAAGCTCCAGCAATGGTTGGCTGTGTTTGCTGGCAAGTATACTGCCAGGGCAGCCACGTTATCACAGTCAAAGTTTAGGCTATTAGTTAGTTGCAGTTCAGTTATTCAAAATAGAATTACAGGGAACATGAATGAGTGACAGAAACAAATATAAGAAGGCAGCAAAGATGATAGATGGAAAAAAAGAAAAAGATTCATGTGAGAAAGACAAAAAGAGACACAAAGTCATGAAGTTATGACAGACCAAAGTAGTTTGATCTCCGGATATGTCGCGGTCGTGAATACACTGAATATCAAATCAAGACTTGCATATGGATGCATAATTGTTGATGTGGTGGCCAAATGGTCCTGGCACATATGAGCACCTTGGAAATTAAATGTAAGCATAATCATAACAGCAGTCCTGATAAAGCATGGCCTTACTAATGTGCTGGGCTATCCATTCACAAAAGCAGATTAAGTATAATTAATGTATAGGTCATTTTAAGCCTTTTTCAGTTTTAGAGGAAATATACTATTAGCCTTCATTAGCACTTAAGGAGCTTATCATGGACCCCAAAATGATCTCATTTACAGTATTTATTTAAGACTGTAGGACAGTCTCATAATAGTCCCAGCATAATTACTATGACTGATTCAGAGATACTTGAAGAATAAAGGCTCTGGCTATTTTTTTATTGTTCTATTGTAATGACTCTACCACTGGATCCGAAACAGTGTGTGTTTGAGTGGACGTAGTGATGATGGAGCAGTGACGGTATCTTGTAGCTCCGTTCCCATTCATGTCATAGTGGCTTATTATGAATTTAGAGCCTGGCATTGTCCTCCATTTAAACCCTTGGGATTAAGTCCCACTGAACGGGCTTTGGGCTGGACCACTGTGATGGATCTGACAACCTGCTAGTGTGTCCTCCCTACTTTGTCCTTACCTTGATCACGTAAAAACTCAACTTCTGATTCCATGATGAAGGCGCCGTCTAGATAAGAGCAAAAACAGTTTGCGTTGGCAAAGTAAAAAGGACCACCACTAACTAACTTAACGCTAACGTTAAATACGGGCACGTACAACCAGTCCTCTAGCGTTAGTTAAGTTACGTAAACTGATGTTTTCAATGCAACGTTTCATTGCGACACAAATAATGACGTTACAAAGCTGCTTATAACCAGGTAACGTTAGCTAGCTCGCGTTAGCTGTGGTTGCCTAGCAATGCTATGTGAAGCTAGCATTAGCCGGGGCAGCTAATCAATCTCAGCTGAGCTTAGCTAGCTAATTAAACCTTTCCATCTGTTCAGTAAAGAGCTAACCCGCAACACAAATCACTTCAGAGAAAGGTGACGCGTGCGGGCTACATACATGTATTATTTGTTAACGTGGCAGTTTCAAATACAGAAGTACTATTAGGGTATTTTTACTTGAACATTCAGTTCCGCCGTCCGTTTGAAGAAACAAACAGCAGCCAATAGCAATGAAGAGGTGCAGCGCAGAGGTTGTTCCGGCTGACTACAACAGGGAAGTGAACAGGTTCCGTTCTGTTTCGGGAAGGTGCAGTCGGATATATTTTGAAGGAAATTCAATATTTTAGTTCCCGTTTGAGTATTACATATTACTAGAGATTATTAGAGATTATGTTTTTACCCCGACAAATTTGTCTGGTCTGTCAGAAAGTGACACACGTATTCGTATAAAATGTGCTGCATAGCTCTCAGTCAACTGGTCATATGATTTTGGTTATGCTGACGTTACAACATTTCTGTTGTAAAACAACGTCCTCAGAGTACAATTCAAATAATTTAAAGTCTAATCTGAAGCGGCAACCTGGACACCAAGTAAGTTCTCTTTGATATGTAATATTCCAAGTTTTCCATATCAGGAAGTCAAGTAGTCTATCTTCATAAGTTATTCAGTAACAGACAGGAACCCAATTTGATAACAAGCTGCTTAAAGAGCCGCACAGGGGGTATGTTAAGACAGAACAAGCTCAGCTGGGGCCCAGTTAAGAGTATTTTAGCCAGTGAGTCTCTGGAGCTGTGACAACATGGGGGTCGCCCGTGGACTGCAGTTTATGACACTTATCCACATTCTGCTATGCTGTGATTCTCTGTAAGTTTCCAATTCATTGATATGTCACCATGATCAAATGGCAGATGACCACTCTGATTTAATTTTTCTTTCAGTCCTCGAAAGCAAATGGAGTTTTTGATCCGGCACACCTGGGATAGCAATCCTGTGAATCATGACCCTATCAGGGTCGTTTTTTCTCCTGGCCAGGGAGGGCTGAAGATTGAAGTGTTTGGTCCCTTCTTCAATGACCCAGCAGCTCCTGCAAGCCCCCCCAGTCAGCCCTTCCCTGGACTCTGGGATTATGAAGGTGGGTAAGAAGTAGGAGCTCAGGCTATGCTGTACGTATGGTGGTGCACTGAACAGCTGCCCTAGACATGCACATATACTATATATGTAGCATCATAGCAAGACTTTTGAAGTATTGTATAAACCTCAATTAAAAAATGCAGTGTTCATTTCCCTTTTTCCATCTTCTCATCAAACTCTTAACTCTCAGCACGAAAGTGAGTGAGCGTATCTCCCAAAATGTCAAACTATTCATTTGACTGATCATAATTAACCAATTAAAAAGTGTGTAATTATGACAGTGACACACTCGAGACTCCATAGTGTCGATTCAACCTGAGCTTTATAACCTCACAAAGGTTGCATTTATGGCCTGTTGTAATAGATTGCATTATATTGTACAGGTGTTGCTTTTATGGTTCCCACCCCCCAATAGTTGTCCTTATTATGACGTTGTTATTCCAGTCCTGGTTTTGGGATTCAGTCTGTATGATGCATTTTTAAAGCTGAGATAAAATTATGAATATAGTCCAATGAGGTTGAAGAGACTAGGGACTTGCTCTGCTCTGTTTATGAGGCCATAATAGTAATTGCATTATCATTATTATGGTGACACAGCAATTAAACCCAGTGATGAGGTTGAGTAATAACAATCCTATCTAATTGACCTTAAGTAAGTTCGATTTCCGGTTAATGAGCTCCACATATTTGGCCTCATTAATGTTACTTATTAGATTGGAAACCATTATAATCCAAGCCATTATAATGAGCATGCTGCTAGGTTAGTGGGTGTGCTGGTCTTCATATCTTATTTAAAAGTTTATGTATCTGTAATTTTTACACAATATTGTTCAACTGTAAACTTGTTTTCTCTGAGATAGTTGTGGATGAGGTTAATAACACATTTGAAGCGGTTTATTAATGTAGGATTAAAGGTTTTTTCTTGCTTCAAAATTTTTTTCTTCTTTTTCCTCAGTTGTGGAGTCCTTCTTCCTTGATAGTACTACAGAAAATTACTTAGAGGTGGAGCTTTGTCCGTAAGTACAGACCTAAGCTGCTGTAACATCCATGTCTGTGACCACATGTTTATAGACAGTCTTATTACAAACAAAACTGTGTTTTCATTTCAGACATGGACAGCACCTGATATTATTGCTGTCAGGAGTTGGCCAAGCATTCCTGGTAGGCAGACATCAAGGGAGTTACTGAAGGAAGCAGTGGTACTTTGTGTTAGGTGTAGTATTTCTCATTTTTGTCTTGCTTTTCCAGCAACAACTGCCCATGGTGTTTAATGCCACCATCAAAGGGGACAGGTGGATGGGCGAGGCTCTCCTTCCCTGGTCGTACTTCCCTCCCAATATCAACAAGATGAACTCTTACGCCATCCATGGCTCAGGAGAGAAGCGTACATACGAAGCCCTCTACCCAATCCCCAAGGAGGAGCTAGTGGAAGGCCAAAAACCCAACTTGTAAGTATGCTGACTCCCATGAGTATAGTTGTTGGAGGTCATATACAGATGTTACTTGTATACAAGTTATTTACAGTAAAACATCGTTTTGCACAGCAGTTTAGTTTTGCACTTTCATGAAGTTGGAGGACATATTTATAAAAGAGTAACAAAAATCAACGGAGATATTCTGACTTTAAGTCCTTAGTATGGGTCAAGCTCCAAAAACACTGGCTCCTGCATTTCCCATAATGCAACTCAACTGGGTCTTTTGGTACATGTCCCCTTACTGGTAAATGCCCACGCATTTTAAACTCCAATGTGCAACACATTTTTCTGTTGCAAATTCAAAGCCGAAATCCCCAGCCAAGATGACACTAATGACATCATCAGGGTTATTTTCTACCTCAGAGACACTTCCTCCAGAGCCACAGAGGACATTTTTCACAGGCTCAGTTGTGCTTCTTGTGATGAGTAATAGTCATCGGTTAGAATTTGAAGAACAAGTTTGTATGACAAAGTTTTGACAGGCCAGCTTCCAGTTTGCACTTTTCAGATTTGTAAGCTGTTAGCTAACACCAGTCCTAGGTAATTAGACTCAAAAAAGGAGATTTACAGTATGTATAAATGTACAAAAAAGTTCATGTGTGTATATGAGAGTTTTGTGCATCCTATATGAAATGCTTTGTCTGTCTCGTAGCCACCGTCTGGAGTATTTCCAAAATTTCCGCCTGCAGAGCATCATGGGAGAAGGTTGGGTCCAGCCACACTCTGATCTGTGGATAGGAAAGCCCTGAGATTGACAAAAAAGCTTTTTCCTCTATCTTTTTTCTTTTTCTTGCACACACACGCACATACACCATGGCGGCAGAGCACTAGTACAAACACTCATTGACTGGGAACAAAAGGCAATCAATCTTTATTAGTAAATGATGTAAAATGATATGACAAAAAATATGTTATCAGCTTGTCAGAGCGTATTAGCCTTCACACACATCTTTAGAAGCACACAGTCACACACATATCACAAGGTATTGGACGTCACCTTAAATTGCCTTGGCAGAGTGTGACCTGTAGCGCTTATACTGTGGATGGTGGCAAGGACTGCTCAATTTGACATTCAGCTCCGGTGTAGCCTGTGCGTTTCATTTCAGTGAGTTGAACCACAGCAGGTATTTGTGATTGTTTGCCCTGACTGTTAAGAGACACATGCGCAAACAATCACACACCACTGAAGTGAAAAATCTGTTCTTCGGAGTTGCAAGCCAGAGCTTTTGGATTTGTGCCGTACTGTAATTAGATCCTTTTGCAGTCATTCCATTGACTTTATGGATTTCCTTTTACAGTTAAATATCTTTATATATTGATTACATATTGCTGGGGATGTGTATTGTCAGTTTTTTTCCCCCTCTGTGATTGTCTGAAAAATGTCGCTTTAATTGTATTTCATGTTTCACTTTTTTCCTATCCATTAAAGTAATTGGTGGTTCATCATTTTGAGAAATATTTTTGTTTGCTTCCTTGCTGAGGGTTGAATGAGATGGTCGGAAGAAGTACTTAGATCCTTTACTTAAAATCACTAGTACATAATGTAAAAATACATACATATTCTTCTACTACAGTTACTAATTAAAACTGCTACCTTAAGTAAAACTCAAGTATTATCATCAAAATGTGCTTGAAGTATAAAAAGTACTCCCTATAAATGGTCCCTATGACTGAATAAATCTGAGAGGTTGTGAGAGGATAAATGGGAGAGACATGTTTATTCATTTTTTGGACTTTTGTCAAATCTGTGTGTGTGTAAAATATTGGCAAATGTTTCCCTCTATTAGCCTTGCACAGTCATTTCAATAAACCCTCTGAAAAGGTTAGAGAAGAAATCACTCTTTTGGCAGAAACATGACAACAGGCCTGTTACCAAATACTGTTTCTTGTAAGCCAAAATGGTTTTATGTTGAACAGCTCATTTTTAACGTAAAATCTGGTAAGTAATGAGTACTCCAGCTGTCAAATAGATGTAATGGAGTAAGAAGTAAACATTTTCTTATAAATTACAAGAATAGGACAGTACTTGGGTAAATTTCCCAGTGGTGAAAAGTACATTGACCCAAGTACTGTACTATTCTTGGTCACTCTCGTCTACCCCAATAATGGCTTGAGCCAGCAGCCGGTTAGCTTAGCTTAGCATAAAGCACAGGGAAACAATGGAAACTGACTACGCCAGGCACATAACCACCACATAAAGGTTTTGGTTGGAATTAAACACAATATGATGTGTATATTAGGTAGCTTTAGAGGTGCCTCTAAGTGGATTTTGTTATCTTTTGACTGAACCTGGCTAGCTGCTTCCCCGTTTCTAGAACACCCAACTTGAGACTGAGGACTTTCTCTCAGCTTTCTAAAACTGTGTGGAAACAAAAAAGTGCCAGCTGTATTTCTAGTGTGTTTCCCTGTGGACCAGAATGGGGGGGTTAGGGTTAGTCGTTCGTTTGTTAGTGGCCCTCCTCACCACCGATAAAGCAACTACTTTGCATTCTGAAATCTCCCTACAACTTGTAGACCAGGCTGGCCGACTTCTAGCCGTAGCTCCATAGTTGGGATATAAACATGAGAATGGTGTCGATCTTCATATCCGTCGACAGGAAAGCAAGGTTTTTTGCAGAAATGTCAGACTATTCCTTCAACTCGACTGATGTGGAATAGGCTATATGTCCTCTCATTATGTCAAATGGTTGTACGGTATGGATTCTTAATGGCAATAAAATGAAATGGGGTAGCTTGAAAGCTTTTTGGAAAATTGAATCCTGACACTCTGCAGTTCATCCCCCCCTCATATATATATCAAAGTCCCACTAACTTACTTTTCCACCTACTTTTTGGAGTTGAGATCACAGACCGTCTGATCCCCAACATACACCGGCACACACATATGATTGGGGACTCACAAATCTCTGTCTTCTCTCCACGACCCCACGAGTCTTTTTCCCCTCGCCCCTGCTACAGCCCTTTGTAGAGCCTGTGTATTTATCAGAGGCTCCTCTTGGATCACTGGCTGGCAAACTGCTTCTCCTGACCAGGAGACGGGGGGTCGATTGATTTTCATGTTGGATGTGTTGCTCTTCGCTGTGGCAGCCCAAAAGCCCATATTGAGCCCTATCAGTTTTAATTGGCATTCTCGCCTTTGAAATGTGTGCAGTGATTAGGCCTAGAGAGCCCACTGCTTAAGCCCCCTCCTTATCATCGCCTGCGGTGCCTTGCCACCTCACTGCACACTATTCACATGCACACACACGCACGGGGTAGTATTGTAGTCCACCAGCATGTCAATAAAATGTTGACCAAAAAAAATGTTTCTGCACACATTCAGACAAAAACAGGACCTTCATAAAACACTTTGATGAACACACGGCTACGCACACGCAGCTGTGCGCAGGCAGAGGATGTGTGTCCCCGCTAAGACTTAAACCCAGTTCTCTCTAATTAGTGTGAAGAGATGAGAGGGGAGAGCAGAACAGGTAGCTGCCTCTCCTCTACCGCCAAAGCCCTGGCAGACAAGCAGACACAAGAGCCGTCTTATCCCCCTCCGAGAGAAAAGAGACCAGCCAGCTCTAAAACATTCAACACCAGCTTAAGGGTGATTCTGCGTGTCAGAAACTTTCTGGTGATCACCCCCAGACCTAGTTCCTTTTTTTTTCCTTCTTCTTCTTTTTACAAGAGACGTGGGTCTCATTTCTTTAAGTTTAAAGAGTGTTTGAGGGTATGAATGAGGATAAAGTTGTGATGAAAAATAGAACGCGAGGGATAAAGGAGTGATCTTGGAACATGAAAAGAGCGAGAGATTGAAAAAGTGAAAACGGTAATGACTTTGCCTAGTTTTAGGGGGTCTGTGATAGAGACCCAAATGAAAGATTCATACTGGAGCTAATAAGATACTGGGACAATTCGTACTGTAGCCTTTGCAGAGTAATGCTCAAAACAGTATCAGATTGTACAAAGCGATACAACTTATCAACACTGTGCAGTAGCCTACACAAGTGTGGCTGGCTTCCAGTAGACCATTCCACACAAACAGAAGGAAACTTTGGTCTTGGTCATCTTGCCTGATCACCAAAGAACCATTTATGCGAATCTGTCGGTAACCTTGTGTCCAATCTATTTTTCACAATGACCAAGGCCAAACCAGTAATAAAATATTATAATACACCAACAGAGCTGTGTTGTGTCAGTCTTCCTGTAAAAGTGAATAGGCATAAAGACTTAATGGAAGGGAACATGGCATCCCAAGTGTTTCACTGAACCAACTGAATGGTTATTAAGTCAGTCTAATTATTGTCCAACATGTCCATCATTATTGAGAGAGCTACAGGGGTGAAGTATGGGAAGAGTGGTCCTGGGCACAAAAAAGATCTAGACCTAAATACTTCTGCAGTGTGTGTGTGTGTGTGTGTGTGTGTGTGTGATAACACAGGTACTAATTGCAGTTGAAGCCTGCTAGTGTTGCGCATACGAGGATGGCATGGGTAGAATGCGGAATGAAGCTGTAAGAGGCTGGGGAGAGGGGAAAAAAGAGATGCAGAGCCAAGCGAATGCCAGGGACATTAATGAGGGCCAGACGAGTTCTACTTCTCAATAACACGGCAGAGAGCAAGAGAAAAGAGAGGGAGAAAATGAGGGGAATAGAAAAAAGATAGAGGGACAGAGGGGTTTCATTACAGAAGAATGTTAGACAACCATTTGCAAACTTAGCCAAGTGATGGTCTTTTTTTCTCACATCCACACATCCATATATGTGCAAACATTTGACGACATGAAGACAAATTACACACAGAAACACACATACAAACAGTGTATAATCTACTCCAGCCAGGCACATGCAGAGATTGCCTTCATGTTTATGAATCAGTGCTAATATATGCATTAACATTTTAGTTAGAGTTAATAATTAACAATTGCTTCTGCTTTATGTGCTCACACTGCACACACACACACACACACAGAGGAATGTAAGGTCAGGCACCGCTGCTCAATTTATATGAGGGAATGGGATTCATATGTTATCTGTGCATAAACATTAGAAACAAATGATATCAGTAAGAGGGGAAAAGAAGGTAAATTAAGCTCTCTTTGTTATCAACACAGAATATAAATCATGAGTGTTTGCCTAATTGATTCCATTACATTCCCACCTGCCTGCCGACTCTCTCATCCATCCGTGTATTGTTTATCTTCATTTTAAGCTAGATGGATGAAAAAGGTTGTTATTGGATGTGAAACCCGCTGAATTTCATCCTTTTCAGTGAGCACATTAATTGGCAAGTAGATGTGGCACACAATTATTAGAGAATATTTGTTCTTGCACAATAAGCTCACAAAGAAGCAAACTCTTGATACAGAAGTTTGCCTGTCTGGGAGACAGGAGATGATGATGTTCCTTTGTTTTTAATAGCAAATAGACCGCATTATGCTTGAAGGTAATTTATGTGCAGCTTGGTATTACTGGTTGTAAGTGAGCAAGTTCACTAACTCTTAATTGGGAAATAAATCACACTGTTGCTATAGCAACAAACACTTAAAAGTGGTAATGGCAAAATGAGAGCACGCTGATAGTGTGTCAGCACATTGAGCTGGTGTATGTGTATGTGTGTGTGCACACTCAGGCATGTGTTTTCTCTCCCTGCAGCTCATTACCATAGAGTCTTGTTAGTATAGCTGCTGCTATGTACTGTACATGGTATGCCGTGTCATTCCATTAGGTCTTGCCCATGTTGCCCTCGCAGAAGGAGCTGTAGGCTTGCCCATTTAAAAGCCTACAAATGTTGGAATAACAATGTAGTTAATCACATATGGTGACCCAAAAAACTAATTACACCATAAGGTGTCACATTCTCTTTGTGATTTCTCTCATCCATCCCCTTTACCATTATCATCATTTACCCCTTTCTCTTGCTACTTCTAACATCTTTTCCTTTGTCACTTTCCCCTTCATTCATTTCTCCTCATCCCCTCTCTTCTTCTCCTGGGCCCTGTTCGCCTCTCCCCAGTCTCCTTCAGCTTCTGAAATGGATGGAGGCAGAAAGGGCATTAGCCTAGATGAATGGATAGACTGGCCTAACACAATCTGGCCCACTTCAGTAGACAATTTAATATGGCCTCGCCCACAGTGCGGTTACCCCGCTACGGAGCTGCACTAAATCTCACTTTGACTTGGTATGATGGATACAGATTTGACAGATCAAAACAGTGTGTGTGTGTTTGTGTGTGTGTGTGTGAGTATGTGCATTCCTGTGTTTGTGTAGGCATGATGGATACGACAGTCGATCGACAGATGAGCTGCGAGAGGCAGGAGTGATAATTATTGTATTTATCTGGGTTAGGTGTCATGGCTGTCTATGCTGCATTATGAACAGATAAAAAGCTGAATGCCTTTCAGTGCATTCCATCAATTCAACACCTGCACCTCCATTTTTAAATAGAGCAGACCATACATAGAG